CACTATCGCCCAAACTGTAAGAATACTACTACTTCATCGTGATGACGTTGTTGACCTTGTCAAAATGTCCCCACCACTACGCAGTTTGCTCATAAGTAAATTTAAATAGAGGTGCCACATCAGTTGTATTTGTTTCTGTATTGTAATTTAATTTTTTTAAATTAATCACACTATTCAAACTGTATATATAAAGTAATTATGTGTGAAGTTTTATGTATAACATTTTCTAATTCAATTATTCGTAAGCAAATACATTATACAGTGGCCTTAAACTTAGCACCACAATTGCCAAGTGGTACTACCCGTAGAGGTTTTTTAAACATTGCAATGCATCGTAATGGTTATTTTTAGAATGGCAAACTGATGCAGCTGTTAATACGTGTTGTAAACGTAGACACTACTAGACTAGTAATATTGCTTAATTGGTGCATGAAAAGAAATCTTGTGATTTACATAGATGTGCCGACCAAAAATATTTTTTAACAAATATCATTGTTTAAAACTTTGAGTTTAAAAAGTTTCCAAAAAGGCACCACTTTGCTGAAAATGGCCAGAGGGGGAGCGGCCGCTCCCCCTGCTCCCCCCCCCCTGCGTACGCTACTGAATTTACGTTGCTGGCGTGGAGATCTACTCACGAATCACGTGATCAAATCTCCCATAAACAAACAAATAAACGCGAAGCTGAGTTAAGGAAAAACGTGTTTATGTGTATTTTAGCATGCCCAGCGTACCAACCGTGTCACCGTTAACAATGTGTTACCGTGTCCGTTCTCCTTTTTAGTCCGTTGCTACACATAAAAAACGTGGTTTTTTAAAAAGTTTTTTTTAAGTATTTTATTTTCTCCTTTTTAGTCCGTTGCTACACATGAAAAACGTGGTTTTTAAAAAAGTGTTTATAAATACACGGACTAAAAATCTTGAGCGACCAGGATTCGAACCTGGGTTGTCGCGGCCACAACGCGAAGTACTAACCACTATACGATCACGGCCAGCGCGCTCACATCGATTGGGGCCGAAGTAACTGTGTCAATAGGCCTCTTGTCGGTATCTTTAGAAATCATGTCCTCAATTTTATGGTCCTTGGGGCGTAATTAAATTAAGCTAATTACGGTCACTAATTGCTAGTTTTTATGATTGCATCTGAAATTGTTAGGCGAAAGTAGCATGCATGCCAAATTTCAGGTCTCTAGAGCAATCAGAAGTGGGCTAATTTTCGATGTCAATTTTAACAACAAACATCCAAACAACCAAACAAACAAACAAACGCGAAGCTGAGTTAAGAAAAACGTTTTAAAAACGTTTTAAAAACGTGTTAAATAACGAACATTCCAACCATGAGGGCTCAGTTTTTGGCCAGAATTGAAAAAAAAAAAGAAAGAAAATTGTGCATAATAACGAATTTTACAAAATGATAGGTTGACATGAGATGATATTGAAAGACGAAATACTCAGCGAAAGAATTGTGACAAAATCTTCAAAACTGTTGAAATTAATTAAAATTTCTATTTCCTCGCTAAGGTCTTTTCATCATCATTAAACATAATTAACAAGAAATTTTTATTTTAAAAAATGTCCTTGCTGGCTTGGAGGTGAGAAAATCTTTACACCGTAAAACACACTTCCCCAGTTCAATCAGCAAGTTAACTTCTATTCCAATCTCATGTGATGTTGCAAGCTTTCTTCTACCAAATCTTAGACAAGCAACCTCCTTAAGTTGATGAAAAACAGCGACAGAATCTCCATCTTCCATTTTCAGCATAGCTGGAGTGTCCTCATCATTTAAAGCAGGGGTCTCCAAACTTTTCAGTCCGAGGGCCGCATTGACTATCAAATTTCAGTTCAGGGGCCAGTTTATTCCTGACATGTCGTGATTTTTCTGAGCAAAGTTCCTCAGCCATCACCAACAAATGTTTTTTTCCGTGGACAAAATGATCTCCGCGGGCCGGATGAGAGGACCTCGCGGGCCGCATCCGGCCCGCGGGCCGTAGTTTGGAGACCCCTGATTTAAAGGATTTCTATCCAATCAAAATCTTACAACTCCTGTTTGTTATTCCAGCTATATTACAATTCAATACAGAGGTGTAGTCCATTCTTGTGGATTGTAGAATCCACAGCACTAACCTTCGTGACCAGTTACTTTTAAATTGATGTGTCGGGAAAATGTTAAAGCTATCTTGTTCCCGTTTGCCTGGAGATGTAGGCTAATGTTGTTGCTAGGTGATGTAGGCTATTGTTCCCGGTTGCCTGGTGATGCAGGCTAATGTTCCCGGTTGCCTTGTGATGTAAGCTAATGTTCCCGGTTGCCTGGTGATGTAAGCTAATGTTCCCGGTTGCCTGGTGATGTAAGCTAATGTTCCCGGTTGCCTGGTGATGTAGGCTATTGTTCCGGGTTGCCTGGTGATGTAAGCTAATGTTCCCGGTTGCCTGGTGATGTAGGCTATTATTCCCGGTTGCCTGGTGATGCAGGCTAATGTTCCCGGTTGCCTTGTGATGTAAGCTAATGTTCCCGGTTGCCTGGTGATGTAAGCTAATGTTCCCGGTTGCCTGGTGATGTAGGCTATTGTTCCGGGTTGCCTGGTGATGTAAGCTAATGTTCCCGGTTGCCTGGTGATGTAGGCTATTGTTCCCGGTTGCCTGGTGATGTAAGCTAATGTTCCAGGGGCGGAACTACCATACCGCCAGACCCCGCAATGCGGGGGGGGGGGGGGGGGGGGCAGGACGTTTAGGGGCCCATGTCCGACAAAAAAACAATGATTTTTTTTTTCAAAAATTATGTTTTTCATGCATCTTGAAAGTCGTTTTGTGAAAAAAAAAAAAAAAAAAAAACAGGTCTACTATAGCAGAGATTGTTGCGTAGAAAAATATTTTAAAATCTACAAGAGCTATAGTTTGAAAGATAGACAAACATTCACACTACTTCCATTACTTACTGTCCTTCTTCAAAATAGGGATGCCCACAAAGCTTATTTAAATAGTTTTGTACTATGTATATTAAAAAGCAATTGATTCTCTGAATTATTATTTAAATAAGACAAACTAAACAATGGTATAGCTAAAAGATCAATATTTTCAAAATTGATATTATAAAAGCCAAAACTGAAAAAAATAAACATAACGCGAGAAACCATTCACGAATCAAGCTTACGTCTTTATATATTTTTGACCAGCATATTTAGTAGATTTCTAGATTATTTCTAGCCCAAGATAAGTTTGGACTAAATTTGTCTGGTTGTTTCTCTCAGAATGGTTATATATTGCAATGAAGTAGACTAAATTACTCAGGATATAGATTATATATATATATATATATATATATATATATATATATATATATATATATATATATATATATATATATATATATATATATATATATATATATATATATATATATATATAGGGGGCCCTAATTTTTTCTTTGCGGGGGAGCCTTTTTTTTCTAGTTCCGCCACTGTAATGTTCCCGGTGGCCTTGTGATGTAAGCTAATGTTGTTGCTAGGTGATGTAGGCTATTGTTCCCGGTTGCCTTGTGATGTAAGCTAATGTTCCCGGTTGCCTTGTGATGTAGGCTATTGTTACCGTTTGCCTGGTGATGTAAGCTAATGTTCCCGGTTTCCTTTGTGATGTAAGCTAATGTTCCAGGTTGTCTGGTGATGTAAGTTAATGTTCCCGGTGGCCTTGTGATGTAAGCTAATTTTCCCAGTTGTCTGGTGATGTAGGCTAAACAGTTAGACGTAGTATTGTTTTCTCTATAGTTAGCACGTTTACTTCATGGTGTCACCCCCACCCTCTTGTGATAATTGTCCATTTGTTCTTAAAATACTATTTAACTTTAATCAAACATTAATGGAACTTGCAAAAAGCATTTTTCTTCTGTACATTTTGCAATTTTTTGCCGTGGTGTACTGTGTCATCCTGTAAATGGTGTCACCCGGTGTGGACGCACCCGCGCCCCGTCATCGCTACACCTCTGCTGTATATAGGATTTTATTCAATATATCTATTGAAAAAACAATTTTCACTGATATGGCAGTATCTTTACTTATTATAATAAACCGGGAGTGATCTCCCCTAAACTTTCTCGAATATTCTTATATAAAATAACAGGGGATGGGAACTCGGGCTATAGACATGATTTTTAATCCATTTTAAATACTTAAAGTTTTAATAAACCGGTAGTGATCTCCCCTAAACTTTCTCGAATATTCTTATATAAAACAACAGGGGATGGTAACTGGGGATATAGTTATGATTTTTAATCCATTTTAAATACTTAAACTTTTAAAAATAGAATAGAATCTCATAAAAAAAACATTGCGCACCAAGCAAACGCCGAATAAAAACGCGTATAATAGTGCGCAATATTATTAGTACTTTAAAAATTTACATTAGTTTTTTGAGAAATCGGAAGTAGCGTAAATTACTACTTCCAGTCAACGGAAATTACTCAAAATTTAACAGAAGGTAGAGAATTAGATTTTTTACTTACATGTGAAATTTCATTTATCTATCTGAAATAGTACTCAAGTTATAGGCTTTTGAAAAATTCAAAGTAGGAAAAGTACCACTTCCGGTTATCGGAAATCGCTCAAAAGTTGATACGGATCTACGATTTTGATAAAATACTTATATATGAAATTTCATCAACCTAGCTGTAACGGTACTCAAGTTATCGTGTTTACACACGGACAGACACACACACAGACAGACACACACACACACAGACATACGGACAAGATTGCAAAATTATGTTTTTCCGTATCAGTGAGGTGTAAAACGTCGAGATTTGTAAAAATCTCGATTTTTTTTTTGCACGATTACAATACTTTCTCTATACTACGTATATACGAGAAAGTAAAAATATTAAACCCTTCCAGGATTTTTATTTCAAACGCCGAATTATGCCTAATTTCTTATTTCGCTATTCTTTCCTTTTAAACTAAATCTGCATTTTAATGCAATCCATCTCCACTTTTATTACCTCCCCTTTTAGTCGACATTTTGACGTCATCCGATCTCTGTTTGCTATAAACAAAGTGTAACCAAACTGCCTGGTAACGAAGACAGTACTGTTAGTTCTACGATCTAAAAATGCCTATCTAAAAAAATGATAAAATATTTGAGCTCGATGGCTTGTCGGTAAGAAATGGTGTAATTTTTTTAAATTTATGGCAACCATATTTTATTTAGAACTAGAATATTAAATTAGATTCTTAGATGTCAAAGATGTGACTGGAGTCTGAACTCTGAAGTTCTGAACTGACTGAACAATCGTTCGTAGTCCGATCTCCGTCCACTCATTTTTAAATTACTATTAGAATCTACTACCATTTTGACTAAAGCTAGATTCTAGAAACTAGTTGTTACTCTGTTAATGTTAATCATGATTAAATCATTAAAGTTAACGGCAAAGCATAGTTTAGTTTTTTCTAAAACTCTACACTTCTACACTCTTGTTATGTCAGTTATGAGTTAGTAACTTAGTAAAATCCATTCCACTTAAACTTCTCTTACAGTGTTGTGTGATGTGCTGATCACATTTGTAGTAAATAAAGTATGAACTGAATGAATCAACATGGGCAATTGTGTGTCTGTCATCAGAAAGAAAAAAGAGCCAAATAAGTAAGTTGAGGTCTAATTTTTATTATGATATAAATTATCTGTACAGGTAGGTTAAGTAGGTGCAGTCAGTGTTTGTCTGTTAGCCCCATACCAATTTATAGATTACATCAGTCCATTACCCCAGTCTAACACCTATCACTAAGGGTCATGGTTTGAGTGAGGTGTCTGTCTCATCAAAGCCATGTTTTGCTGGTATCACACTATCACAAAAGCCAGGATAAAAGCATTTATACTTTAATATTCTACTGGCTGGGAATCATGGAAGAGGCAAATAATACTAATATTATTAAAATAATGTTTATTAGGCCCCTGTATAACAAATGTTAACTTTTATGCTTAGGATGTTAATAATACTTTTCAGGTTAACTCTAATTTCTAAGTTAGTCAATATTGCCAACTTTAAACAAATTATATTATAATACCACTTTGATGATCAGTATCATATTGATGTCTCTTTATTAACAATTCTTATTGCTAATCTAGAACCATTACATTGGCAATTGTTGGACTAGATAATGCTGGGAAAAGCACACTGACATCCGTTCTTACTGGTGGTATGTATTTTTTCTCTCAAAATAATGTTTAGACATTATGATACATAGGCTATTTACATAAGTTGCAAATAAGTATATAAAATATTTTTATTTTTAAAGCACCCACTTGCTTACTTAAGATTCATTGAATTGTGCTTAAATAATTACTATTCTGTTGGTTATTTTAAACCACTTTCTCATAACAACTGATGGAGTTCCTTCCCACCCGTTTAGTACACACGCTTTTTGCTCTGGAATTAAATTAAGAAAGAAATCAATTTAAAAAATGAATATAGCATTAACCATATGGCTTGTATCTTTATTATTTATCATGCCCTATGTTAAAAAGTTTTAAAACATCAGCTTCTTAAATCAGCTTCTTCTAATATTAGTGTTGATCTTCTTACATAAAAATGTGCAACAAATTTAACAAGCTGTTTGATATTTATTTATTGCACACCTCATTTTCAATTATTCATATTCATTATAAAATTCTCTCAACAGAGCAACCTGATCCAGATATAGCTCCCACTGTTGGATTCCGAACAGCTAAATTCTCACAGCTCAACTTTGATGTCACTCTGTTTGATGTTGGTGGTGGCAAAAACATCAGGCCTATATGGAAGAATTACTTTGGAGAAGTGTATGGCATTTTGTATGTTTTGGACTCGGGCTGTGAGTCGCGCATGAGAGAGGCCATGGAGGTGTTTAAGCACACTTTGGAACATCCTCAGGTGTCGGGGAAGCCTGTCCTTGTGTGAGTGATTTGGGCTAGTGCTTTTATTTAACTCTGTGCATAGGTTGCTGGTTGATTACAGTTTTATATTGCATAGTTATGATTAAAAAAATATTGTAAAACTCTTATTTTATAAAGAGTTCGTTTTCGCCTTTCATGGTCGCTGGTATCTAGTTATTTTTAAGGATAAAGAGTTTTCACTTTTCTTGGTCTGTAGTATCAAGTTATTTTTAAGGAGGTGTTCAAGAAAATTTTTGAAATTTTGTTTTCAGCTTAGCTAATAAAGTAGACATGACTGATCATATGGAGGAATTAGAAATAATTAAAGGACTTGATTTAGAAAATATAGTCAATGATAACAACTGTCCTTCTAAACTGGTAAGTATAAAGTTTGAGGATTTTTTTGCTTTAATTTGAAATCTAAAATACAAGTTCCGTCTATATATCATCTGTAATTTGTACACATTTATAAAAATTTGTGTTCTAGGCAATGGTATCAGCTTTAAAAGGTGTTGGATCCAAGATGGATAAAGAAATTTTAAATGGTCTCCAGTGGTTGTTTGACAAAATTCAGGAATCGTGGGCTAGTCTATCAAGCAGGGTTGAAGAGGATATGAAAACAGCAAAAGAAGCACGAGATAAAGAGAGGGAGGAGAGGAGGGAGAGAGTGAAGAAACAAAGAGAAGAAAGGTGAGTGGATAAGTCTTTCTGAATGTACAGTGCTGGAATAGTACACTATCATCATGATCCATTTGTGTTAGTTGTCACAAAAATTAACATTGTTATGAGACCTATCAATGAAACTAGTTTAAAAATGTGTGAATACAATAGTTCTTTTGTGGCAATAATTTATTTCAAGAATATTAGAACAATTATATACTCTTAATTTTTAATTGGTTCTTTAAATTTACACAAAAAATTGTTCTCTTCAGACTTAAAACAGTTTGCAGTTCATACTAAACAAACCTATGCTAAATGTAAATTATAAGTAACTCAGGAGCTTGGTCAATTAATCTTTCTGTATTTTTGTAACCAGAGAAAAGGCAGAGGAACTGGAGAGAACCAGACTTGGCTTGGAGAAAAAAGAAGAACCTGACGATGATGATGATATTGTTGATGGCAACCCTTTCAAAGCCTTGGATTTGGAACAATTAAAAAGAAAAGTAAATCATTTTCAAAATTTAATATTATCAAATCATTTTTTAAAAAAAAAGCTCTAAGGCCTTTGAAGTTATGGTTGATCCTGGTTTGAACCTAAAACATAACAGCTACAGTTAACCTACATGCCACTGTGTTAGATGTCCTCTACTTGACAGATGGCATTGTCCAGTGGTAAAGGGCACAGCTACAATCACAAAAAGTGTCACTGTCTAAAGTAAATGCAACTAGGTATAGTGCTGATCCTACAATATACAGAGTAAAACAAAATATATGTATATATTACTTGTACATCAACTGCCATATAGATTTTCCAACAGTGTACTTTACTTACACTCTACTTCCTCTGCTTGACAAACTATCAGGCACCAAAGGTGAAACCATTATTTTTATTTTATTTTGTATCAGAAGTAATTCCATTTCTATTCCATTTCTGTTTTTTATTTTCACAGGAGAAAGCTTTGAAAGAGGAAAAGAAACAAAAACAAGATAGACTAAACCAGCTCAACAAAACAGACAGCATAAAAACTAGAAACGGTGCACTAGACTCTGGTGATAATGGTGTGGAGCCTTTCAATTTGGACAAAAATTATCATCTGCACAGTGGTAAAGAAAGGGGGAGTTTAGAAGATCCTGGCATTCAACCCTCCATGAAAAATGTGTTCAGTCGCAGCAGTGCTAGAGCCTCCACTCTACCACCTCTTGAGCCACTGGGGTCACAGGAGAATAAGCAAACCGGAACAGAAAAAAAGAAACAGAGAAAGAAGAAGAAATTTGCTGATTACAACGTGGACAGTGGGGTTGAGCAGGATGACGATGATGATGACGGGATCGGAAAGTTGAACCAAGTTGTCAATGACCGAAATAGTTGGGGCCGCGATCCTGTTCATAATCTTACACCCCGGGACATCCACCCAAAGAAAACTAAACTTGTGAAGGTAAATAGAATAGAGGAAGCCAAGGATGAAGACCATTATTCTTATGGCGGTGACGTATATACAAAAGTACATAAACTAGACCGGGGAGATTTCCAGAGGACCCCTCCGCCGCATAACAAGAAAGAAAGTAAAGGTTACGAAACTTTCCCTCATGACTTAGAGAAAGGGGACTCAACGTATAGAAGAACGCTCAAAGGGATAAGTCCTCCAAACCTTCAAAAGTTTGACGAGGAGAAAGATGGGGATGAAAGTACAGAGAGAGAAAACTTTAATGATAACTCAGGTGATGAGAGATTCATGTCCTCACGGTTCAGTAAAATGCCAGACAGACAGCCCTATGAAAGGTTGGAAAAAGACAGTGGCAGAAAGGGGAAGCAACAAGCTAGAGAAAAATTGGAAAGACGAGATGTCAGTGATGAAGAGAATGACAGCTACGCTCAGTACAACTCCCTTGAAGACACACTCCGTTTCCCGCCCAGCCCAACAGAAGATGACCCCCCTAGAGATTTCTACAAGGAAATTAAAGCTTTACAAGAAAGAAATTTTAAAGGGTTCAAGAAAAATGATCTAGATGTTGAAGATGAAACAAAAAATATTGAAAAAAGAGAAAATTTATACCACATGAAGCCAATGAAATCTAACTTTGAAGGTACAATTTATTTCTACTTTTCATTGGTAGTTGTAAATAAGTATATATATATATATATATATATATATATAGACCTATGTGTTTATTTTTATAGGTAATATATACATATTTTTTGGAAATGCTAAATTTAAAGTTGCTTTTTATTAATGCTATGCTGTAGAGTCCACTTGCAAATGTTTTTTAACAGATGAAAATGGTAAAGGTGGAGTTTCAGATAGGTCAGAAACACGCAGAAAAAAGAAACGCAATTTGCTGAGATCAAACAAACTCGCCCCTGCTGATGATGAATTTTCCAGCAAGTTTGGCTCACCCAGGATGGTCCAAGAGAAAGGATCTAGAAATACTTCTGATTCTGACACTCCGGTCAAAAGCCTGAATTCCAAACTAACTCAGATTCACAGAAATAAGTCTCAAGATTCAGGTCAGCATACTTTGTGGTTCTCTCTGCTTCTTTGCCATTGGTTTTTTATGTTTATTTTTTTCTTTTACTTTACTTTCATTTACCTTTATTTTCTATCTTTTCTTTTTTTTTTCATCTTTGTTTTTTATGTTTTCTTTCTGTTCATTTCATTATTTGGCATTTTCTTTATCCTCATATTTATTTATTTTACTTTTTCTTCTTTTACTTTTAAAAATAATAAATGTTATTTTCTCTTAAAAAGGCTTACATATCTATCAAATAGAGTTAAAAGTAGACAAAAAATTTAAAATATTCATTGGTTGGTTTAATTTTTTTTTTATCTTCCATTTTTCTTTAGACTTTGAAACCAAGTGGGGTTTTGCTGAGGATCTACCTGCAATAGATGACAATTACAATGTTAGAAGGATCCCAAATTTTAACGACAGTGATGATGGGGACATTGTCTATTGATACTTTATGATGACATTGTCTATTTATATTTAAAGATATTTTCTTGTATGTTAGCCAGTCATACTTTTTACAATTTTTTATTTAGCCCCTAAGTGGTTAAAAAGTGAATTCAGTTTAAACTTGTTATTTTATAACAAATAAATTTTATATTATTATATCTGTACACTATATGCTGGTAATCATTAAGTAATTACCTCCTCTATTCCCTCCTTATAAATTATGTTTATGTTTTAAATTATCACCTAGTGCATAATATTTATTTAAAATACTGCATTTAAAACTATTTTTACTTAGTTTTGTAAGGTCTGAGTTTGGATGATAAAAGATAATACATTTTTGTTGTTCATTTTATAATTCTACTAGAACTATTTACCTATGTTATATATATTTATACATATTGTAGTGGTTGTTTATTTCTTTTTTTTGCTCTATCATTTTCATGGTATGTATATTATAAATTATTCTTTATTATTATAATATGCCTATTTATACAAATGTGAAAACATTATTGGAAGTTGTTTATCATTATTTTAAATTATAAAATAAAATCCGTCCATAATATAGTAATTAGCTCATTCTTTTAAAAAATTATTTTCATATTGTTAATGTTGAAATTCATTATATTTTCAATGTTTTTTAAATATTTCTATCATTAAGCCTTAAGCCAAATTATCATATATTCTTTTAAAACAATGCTTTTAATTGAGCACAAAAGCACATACTTTGATATGTAGTCTACACTGAGGTATATCCCAATAAATATTTTAGAATATTTTTGTTGGCCTAATTTCTAACACAGATTAGAACAAAAATTATTTACAATTTCTTCTCCTGGTACTTTACATACCCATAACATTTTTATATTACATTCTAGCTATGTATGTTAACATTATTATTTTAATGTAAAAAAACTGAAAGCACCTGTTCTACTTTTTGTTTAAACTAACTTTTTGGGTTTTCTTTGTAGTTTAAAAAAATAAAACCACAACTGAATGTGAAAATAAATTTGGATGAGCTTATGTGTTCTTGTGTTTTGAAAAAATCTAAATTACTCATATACAGTTCAGATCAGAAAGTCCTAACTTCAATACATTTTAAATTAATGGCCTGTTGTACATTTTTAGTAGACTGATAGTTTTTTTTTTTTATCTATCATACACTAAAAGCAGCAAGTCATTTAAAAGCAAGAGTTCAATACCTGTCTTAACCCTGTCTTTGGTTATCCACAAGATAATTAGCTAATCTTCAGGTTGTCTAGGCCCCTATAGACGTTCATGAGAAAGCCAGCATAGGTTGTCTATAGGACGTTCATGAGAAATCCAGTCTTTATGTTGTCTATAGGACGTTCATGAGAAAGCCAGTCTTTTTATTGTCTACAGGACGTTCATGAGACCATAAGCCAGTCTTTATGTTGTCTATAGGACGTTCACTTTACCATACGCAAGTCTTTAGGTTGTCTATTGGACATTCATTTGACCATATGTAAGTCTTTATACGTTGTCTATAAGACATCCATTTGACCGTAAGCCAGTATTCGTTTGTCTGTAGAATGATAAAGGGACCAGCCAGTTCTGATCACCTGTCACCATAAATAATGTAATCAATTTTGGGGAAGTAAATTGCGTGTGCATAGAAAAAAACTTCGACCCGTAAAAAACACGAGAAACTGTGCCAGCTTTACATAATGCTGCTTCTTCTTCGTTCTTAAGTTTAGTGTTGGAAGGGATCCCCAATCAACACAATTAAGTATACGTGTCAACTGGTTATTCGTCCTTGAGGCCATTGACTCAGATTTTCTTTTTGGATTTACTTTGTCCAACCAAGACAGCAGTTGTTTGATTTTGGAGTTGGCCCCAGCTAACGAGCATCATATGCCCGAGGGTTCGAACTCGAGACTTGGTTTAGCGACCATGAGCCTTACCGACTCGACACGCCGACCACTTACATAATGCGATTTTTCCGATTTAACGCTCCCTCCCCCAAAAATAGTCACAAAATGCCAGACCCTCATTAAAATGACGTCACCAAGTGACACCCTAATTTGATGATGGCGATAAAAGAAAAATGCTAAAAAGAACAGCGACAAAAGAACGACGACGAACGAGTGGTAGCAGTTTGATGTAATTAGCGTAGGTGTATAATGTATGGAGATTATAGATGATAAGAGATCCTACATTCCCCACACAAATTTAAAAAGACGCCCACACAAATTCAAAAAGGCCTATATGGGTCCAAATCTTGTTGTAAAGTGTGATATCAGATAAAGTTCTATATATTACGTTAACGGATTCAGATATTTTCAGCGGAAGACCCGTTTAGTGGTTTAGTATTGTAAAACATTGATATTGTATATTTGTAACAGAAACAGTGTAACGGAACATTACTTTGTCGCTTATTAAAAGACTTAATGATCACATGATCCTATTGCCCAGGGCCCGGGAATATATCACAATATAAGGCAAAAAAAAATCCAATTAAATAGAGTCTATTTACATTTTTGGTTAGATGATTCCGACACATCCACTAGCTATAAATTCTATAGAAGTAACGTTACGTAACAGGCGCGCCCTTTTCTTTACTTGTTAAACAAGTGAACTAGTCTATATCGCGCTCCTTGTTCACCGGGAAAACCCTTGTAGCTTTTAATAAAATATGGTTCGATTCTGTCTAACAAATAGTTGGAAGCTTTGTGTGTTTGTTGATAATATAACTCGTTAATTTTGTGCATAGATGATTATGTTAATTTTGCTAACTCATTTATTAATGAAACGTTTAATATTTTGGATTAATTATGAAACCGGCAGATCTATATTTTAATACGAAAATAAAAATATTTTTTTAGGCTATTCTTTAGATTCTATTTTCACGGAAGTTTACAATGCGCATGCCCAGTTATCGCCATATTGTGTAGGAAAAGGAACAATAATAATCTCTCAGCTGTAAATATTTTCGATTGAGCTGGGGTATAATTTTCCAAAATTGATATATACATTTGGGATGCTTCTTATAACTGATTACGATGTATATCCATCGTGGAGGATTTTATCTACAATATATCATTTGAGAAAATAAGGGGGAGAATGTAAGTAGTGTAATCAAAAAAGTTAAGAAATTTACAAGAAACCACAGCCACACGACACACACAATCAACAATCAGTGAGTGTATCAGCATCTCACACTCTAAAATCTTAATGATGTAATTTTGAACATTCAATTAGTGCTTCAAACAGTAACATGCTTGTTGAAATTGACACAAATACAAATAGCTTCTACAAATACAAACTTAGTTAATAAATTCCTGTCTGTAGCCTTGCCTTGATCTGACACCCATCATTTTTGAATGATTTTAATTTTTGACAGATTTTCTTCCAGACCAGTTCCAGTGAGTGAACTTCCAGCAGATTCAACTACAAACTTATTAATAATAATTAGATCTAACTACTTTTTAGTTTAGATTTCATCTGAATCAAGGTTCCCTTGTTAGTCTAGCTAAATTATCAATGCTACTTTAAACTTTAATTTAGTTTAATGTGAGACTAAAAAAGAAAAAGAGGATCTTCCAACATCCATTCTATGCATCCCAGAAACAAATGTGAATTTTTTTTATTTTTTGGTAAAGAAATTTTTTATAGGAAGTTTCCTTACTTAGGCTAATTTGCAAGTCAACAGCCAGCTTAAATTAAATCAACTATCTTCCACTACAGTTTTCTCTAATGTTGCCAATAACACATTTATAAATGCTAAAAGACTAAAAACAGATTTAGATTTGAATATTCTACTTTTAGGGACACACTTCATCATTTCAGAGTAACAAATAAAAAAATTATTTAAGAGCACCAGACTATTACCTAACATAATTACATGTAAAATGAAGGTCAACAGCATTCACACTTTAAAAAAAAACACCTTATAATAATAATGTCATTCTACAGTATAATCCTACCAAAGTTGGATGATTGAGGGTCTTGATGACCAGTAATAAAGTCTTCCTAAATTAGGTTGTCAGTAGTATTGTAATCTATCTAGTTTTATGGTTGGAAATTAGGGTTAAGAATAGGGTTATCATTGGCAAGTCACATGTGTAATTACCCAAAATCCACCAAAATTGTATACACACTTGTGTCAAACATTACAAAGTATATCAACTTATTGCGCATGTAGCTTATATCTTAATTATCTATAACTATTGTGGTTGAAAAAAAATAAAACATCTCTTCTTCTCCTCCTCCCCCCCCCTTTTTTTTTTCTAATTTAAAAACCAATTTGTTGAAATAAGTTCTGAAAAAATGTTTTTAAAAATACTTAAACATTTAGAAATTATTTTTAACCATATAGATCTAACCATTTTTTGTTGTTCTAGCAGCAACAATTACTTAGACAATTCTAACTGTTTATTACTTTCAAACATTAATTATTATTAAAAGTTACAATCTAACCTTGAACTAATTTGAATGATGCCAACATTCTGATGTTAGAATATCAAATTGATTGTTTAGGCTTAATAATCTGCAGATAAACATGAAATGAAGAAACTCCACTACATTATCATATAAAAATCATAAGCCTAATGTAATGAACATAAGATCTCCCACTCATGTTTAGTTTATTTGTCAAAAATAGAATTGTTCAACTTATTCCATCCTCTACCTTAATGTTTCCCCGTCTTATTGCTTGTCCACACATCTAACCTAACATAAATTCAAGCAGAAGAATGCTAGGTACAGACTGTATTAGAGACGGCATTGACAAGAACCTGATATACCGAAAATATTTATAAAAAATAATTACAGGCAGCAATTAAATTTAAATGAAAACAATTAGTCAGCTAAATAGTTGGGTTTAGTAGGACTAGTGATAATTTTTGTCTATTGAAATTGAAGTAAATAGACTGGAATTTTTATCTATTGAAATAAATCTACTGGTCACTTAACGTACCTCTTATAAAATTTTGTTACAAATGATCAGAATGTAGTATTAAAATATATTTTTAACTTGAAAATACTTAGGCATAAAAATGTCTTTATTAGGGCCTTTTTATGAATTTTTAGCAATAAAATCAAAGTGAATTTTTGGGTATACAGTAAAAAGTCAATAACTATAGAAAAATCACTGATGGCAATGGAAAGTAACTTCGCACATTCTAAATAAACATTTTTAATAGATGATATGTTTGCAACATACAGTGAAAATTTTAATTAACCCTGATTGACTTATTTTGAGATAAAACTGTTACCCTGAGTTCTATCACTTAAATTAACTTATAAAGAAAAGTCTAAATTATTCTTTAAAGACAAAATAATTTATTATATAAATGTATGCATTAGTAAAAAAAAAATATGAATAAGCTTCATGAATAATTAAATTTATGATAAAATAATCAGGCTAAATAATAGAATTCTTTTGCTATGTCCCGCTTCACTTGTTGTAAAAAGAAAAAAATTATTTGTTATAAAAAAGAAGACGAATAATAACAATAAAAATAAATAATAACAAAAAATTATTTTTGATTAAAATAGTGTGATTTTTAAAGAAAGTGTACTACCAGTTCCCCCATAGCTGTGTTTTTTTCTCACTTTTACCAATTATAAAAAAAAATTAAAAGAAAAAAAAAATTAATTTAGCCATTCACAGAAATTTTTCATTATAAATTTTTTAAAATATCCACCTACTGAAAAATAAATTCTAAGATCATAAATATTACATTCTCCCTCCAGAAACATAGTCCAAACTCATGTTTGTAATGCATCATCTATTCTGTCTCTGTAGCTTTGTCAGAGGTCATTTTCTTCAGTTTGTGGGATGATCATTGATATTATGCCCTGAATTTTCTTTCTGATTGACATGACTTACCTATTAGGGAAGTGCATGCAACATTTTTTTTTTCTCTACAAGTTGACAGTTTACTAACTCTGAATGCTTGTAATTTGCCAAAGAAAAAAAAGAACACAATGTTTTCATATATTGCACATAATCCAAAATGTTAAATTTGTCTACTCCATTGGTTTAAAATTTTTGTTTAACTAGATACTAAGGGAATCACAATTTTAAATATTTTTCTTTCAGTGCTACAATGGATGAGAAAAATGACTTTAGTTTGCTCAGTCACCTGAGTTCAATGTATCCAGATTTGTCTCGTGTAACTGTGTTAAAAATTATGCAAGAGGTATGAAATTCAATTCTGATTTAATGCTTATCAGCACCACAGTAGTGGTACAAGTATTTGATTAACTCTATTTTGTAATGATTAAATTGTTGAATTAAGAAAAATTCTGTTTTCATTACACTGTTTTCCCATGTTAAAATTATCACAACTTACAAACAAATGCTTGTCATTTTTTTCAGTGCTCACATGACAAAGAAAAGTGCATAAAGGCACTGCAACATGAAGTTAAAAAAGATCCCAATTTTTCAAATCAGCGTGTGACAACAGTTTTGGAGCCTAATTTAAGCAATAACAACGTTGTTAGTCAGAATGAAGGCAAGTCGATCAGTACTCGAATAAAAGAGTTACAAGTGTCCCATGAGTCTAGTGGCTCCCAGAAACCTTTTCCAGGTGAAAGACATGTTAGTACAATTGAAAGATCTGTGGGGAATGCAGCACGTAACGCAGAACAAAAAAAACCACTTGTTGGCCAGTCTGTCTCCTGGACTTTACAGCCTGGAGATAAACCAACTCCCTCAGGGACTAATGCTCAAGCCTCCAAGGCTCTTCCTGGATCTTCTGGCACCCCACAGACTGCTCCTGCTGATTTCACTCCTTTTATGTTCACTAACTCCGCCACAGATATCCCTAACATTGATTGCCGAACTCACGGGGCTATAGTCAATGTGCAGAATCCCAACCGACCACGCCAGGTGACTATCAATTCATCATCAGCTTCCAATAGTCCCGGAGAGCAGAGACGTCCTGTGAAAGTCATCAACATTCCTCCAGGGTCGTTGTCAGGAGGCTCAGTGTCGCCAGCCGCCACGCCGCCCAATTCTCGGCATATCCGAATGCATTTTGGTGACACCGGTGGCGTCTGCACGGTCACAGCACCTCCGTCTAACATGCAGCGGTATGGTTCAACACCAAATGTTAGCCAACACTATCGAAGTGAGATACGCACTGAAGCCACTTCCTCACAGCCTTTGCATTCTTCTAGTATAGTTGTGAACACCACTAGCCATTTAAACCATTTGACACCAGATAGAAAAATAAGTAATAGTAGCAATAATGACAGTATTGGGGATGGGAGGCGAACTCCTGTTCACCTAAACTTAAATGCCGGAAGTGACTTTCAGAATTTTGGGGTGAACAATAATTTTACACCTCGGCCATTGTCGACGCCTGTGCAGGCTTCATCTCCTGGCATAGCACATTCTAAGCCTGTATTTGTTGAGATCAAGCGAGATCAAGTGGGGAACACTCATAGTGGGTATAATGACCCAAATTTTCAAACAAATTTCTTTCCCACTGTCAGGGCGCCACCTACAACTTATTTGCCTTCACAGAATTTAGTATATAACATGCATGGGAACCTTAACTATAATCCACAATACAATGCAGAATTTCCAAATTCACAGGAGCAGTTTCATCTCAATCAACAACAAAAGCATGCTGGTTACAGTACCCCACCATCGAATGTTTATCAACCAGCCAGTAGTAATTACAATTCATATTCTCAGTTCAACGTGGGTTACCCCCTTATGGGTGTATCTGGGCCAGTATCCTCACAACCTCCCAGTCATCTTTCGCATTTCGCCCATTATAATTCTCCGACTCCTGTAATGCATTACCACACAAAAAGTCCTGGTGTAGGAAATTCACAGCCGATGCTTAACAGCAGGTCCAACAGCCAAGATAGTGATCACAGTGCTGGTGGGGACTACGATAACCGCCAGCTCCACTTCAATAACATGGGCTCTCGTGTCTCTAGTCACAGCAGCATCAACTCTGATTCCTCCTCAATTCGCATGGATAGAGGGGATCAGGGGGTGCGGCCGCGCTCTGGGAGTATACAGGACGAAGCTGACTACATTCAGGGTTGGTATTTTTTTTACCTTTTCAGTATTCTCACGTAATCTAGATTTCTTATAGGCAACATAGTAGTTAGGTTGAATTTTAGCAAATCCTAAACTTCTTTAAATGGTTGTTTCTTTCTGGTTGTCGTTTTACACAATCATTTTTAAAATGTCTGCATATGTATATGAGCAAATTTACGGGATTATGACTAGGAGCATACACAGCTTTCATTTTATCAATTTTATTTACTGTTTTGAAATACATGTTGCTAGTGTATCATCATTTGTAAAAGCTCAGGGTAATTATATTTATTATAGCAAACAACTAAACTGTTTATGTTAAATTTTTACTGCGCTAATTCTCCTAACTCTGCTTGTATTATGAGTTTTAAATATTTATTATTTTTCAGCTTTACTGGCACACCAGAAAAGTAGAAAGAAAAACCTCCAGGAGTACACTGAGCAATACAGAGATATCTTAGAGAATCTACGCTCTGAGGTTCACAATATGGAGACAAGCATGTTAGAAAATAGCCATGCTAATAGTAGCTTTCCCTCAGTAAGTTGCCTAATACATTTGTAGCTATTTCTTTCAAAATTAACTCTGTAAACTATACCTAAAACTTTTACAGTCATATACTCCAAAATGTGGCAGAGATTTTTCTTGTGTGATATTGTCTCATGCACGCCTGAATTATATAGAGATGTCGGCAAAAGTTTTTTGCTTTTTTTTGTTTTATACAATTTTTAAAAAGTTAACATTGTTCAAAGTTCTGGGCAATATATTTAACAAAATTAAAACTAGTTAAAATGCCTCTGATGTTTAATTGGGTTTGGTTTAAAATCTAACATATATATTATTATAAAAAAGAAATTGTTTCAGTGTTTAGATCTGCTTTGGATTATTTTTTAGTATTGTACATTTTTTTAAAAGATATTATTTTTATTTATTGCTTGTAATTCATTGATCTATCTGGATTTTTTATTCCAGATTGGAGACATTTCCAGATTATGTGAGAAGAATCGATTACTTCAGACTGATATACAAATGTATATGAATGAAATTGACATGTACAAAAGTGGCCAAAGTAATCATCCAATATTTATTTTACTTTGTATTTGTAATTGTGTAAATGTGGTTTGGTAAAAGGTCATTCATTTTTTATGGCTAACTACTAATTGACACAGTTACTTCCTTGTTTATTCACAAGCAACGAAAATTAATCCTCATGTTGCTTTGCTGAATATTATCAGCAGTTTTACCTCTTGTCCTATAAAAACCTGCTGTAGCTTTTATCAGTGTTATAGCAGCTCCATTCAAATAAACCCTGTTTTAGCCTTTATGACCTTATTGTACTTGCAGCTCCATTCAACAAAATCAACCCTCTAGACCAGCAGAACTTTTTTGCCAATATGCCGACAGGACAACAAGATCCTATTTATTCCAGGTCATCTGATGGTATGTACTTTTCTTTAACAAAAATTATTTTTAGTGTAATTGTTTGCTTGTTTATAATTTATGTATTTTTTGCTTCTATGTTTAGCAATTTACAGTGTTATGTATTAAATTTAAACTTAACCTCTCTGCAGCATCTGCTATTCCTCCACCAAGACCACCACCTCCTATTCCTGTAAGGCAACGTTCAACTGATATAACAGTTGGGGGTGCAAGTAGTGATATCTTTCGTGTGCCCCCTGTTCCTATGTTTCAACCTACTGTCAACTCAGGGGATTCTGAAGAAGGGGATCAGTGGAACTGTACTTTCTGCACCTTTTCCAATCACCCGGCCCTCAAGAAGTGTGAGGTGTGCGAGATGCCCAGGGTAGGCCCAGGCTCGTCTGCTGCTCCGCCTCTCCCACCTCACCAGCCCCTCACCTCCCAGCCGCTTCGGCTTGCCCCGGGGATGGTGAGTAACATCCGGCCGCCAAGTGGGCCACCATCATCTGCTTTAGGACACCACCATCGTGCGGGTGAGCTTTGTTACTGTCATAATAAATTTATGCCATAAACATCTAGCGCTCTTTCATTTATTTAACGCTTTAAAACATTCAGTTCACTTTAGTTGATTGTGAGTGTCAATTGTTTTATTTGAAGTAGAATCAGGTTATGTAAATGTGTTTTTTTTTTTAAATGAGAGTTTTGTCACACCACTGTACCGGCTATAAACCAAATCAAACAAGTTGTTCTAGGGGAACATATGTTCCAGTAAATTAAATAAACAAATATTTATAATTCATCTTCGTATGTGTTCATTTCAGTGTATGATTATTCTGCTGCAATAACTTACTACAATATACAATCTGTACATAGTTCTTAAAATCTTTTATTTATATCAAGTAGTCTTCTCTTTATGTTGAATACAATATTTGAGAATTTAAGATAAGTTTTTTACCTTTTCTAATGAGATAACTAGCTCTTACAAGCCATACTGACAAAGTTAGCTAGTCTTGATATATGAAGATTTTTTTTTTTAAGTTCTACAAAATGTTTATAGAAACATCATTATTATGGATGCTATTTTCCCTTGCTTTAAAAAAAACTTTTTGATTTGCAATTTGGTTGAATTGATGCTTTACTTTTTTTTTTTTCGGGCATTAGGTAAATTTTCTTTTGTTCACCATTTCTAGTGCCCACTGGTGTTTTCTTAACCCTTGCCAGATTTTTATTTTTTAAATTTTTATTTATCTGCTTATCAGGTACATAGAGCTTCCTTATACCCTGGTATTGCAAACTCTTTCACCTCACCTGGGAGTTGATGGGTTTTTAGAAATAAAAAATTAGGTGTGGAAGGAGATCAAGGGACCTGAGCTGCATGTTTCTTCACTTGCCTGCCCATCACCCATTGTTGTCTTTCAAGTTGTTCTGCCTGCGGGAGTGTTGGAGTCTCATCATACATCAACTCAGCTGCATGCCCTTTGTTGTAAACAGTTTGAAAAAAAAAAACTGGTCCTGTATTTTCAATGTCAACTAACAGAGCATGAGTGATTGAGCTAAAAAAAAAATTTTCTAGAGGAGTGATATAGACCGTTCGGTAAATTGTTAATAGTGTTGACAGTTTTCAGTGTCCCTTAATCATCAATTTATTTCATTTTTAAAGCATCAAGTTATTAATTATTCAGAAAACTGATCAGTCATTGAGTATTGGCTTAACCATTATAAATAATCATAAACTAATACTTTTGCAATTGGCCTGTAATTATCAAAATATTTTTGCTCTCTTAAAACAATTTTTTTTTCTCTTTATACAATTTTAATTATTTTTGCCCTCCAAGTATAATTTTTTAAACAAATTTTGTTCATTGCTCTCTAATTCTCCTACTCAATTTATAAAATGCTAAAGCCTTAAAAACTTTTCTGAACCAATTAAGCGATATTTATTGACTTCATTAGTGATGAGTGTTGACCACAAATGTTTCCTCCTTTCTGTTTTTATTTGTTTTCTTTCCTTCAGGCTTGTATTTTATTTTCATGAATTGTATCATTTTATAGCATTTTGAGAGTTGATGTGTGAGCGTGCAGAAGAGTGTAGATTAAGGTAATCTACATGTTCATTTATTTATTGGCCGCTGTAAAAATAACTGCCTTTAGTGATTCAAGGTGTACATTATTGGTTCTAGCATTTGTGATTGAACTGTCATGAACTTTAACATACTGCATAGATTTTTCTGTGTTTGGCATTACGTTCCTTAGGATCAATTTTTAGGACAGAATAAATTTCAGAAATTAAATTTGCATTTTTATTACAACAGACTTTTAAAATTATTTTTTTTTTTTAAAGAAATGTCTGTTTTTAATCATTGGTTTTAATGCTTGGTTTGAAACATTACCTTACTTGGCATACATTTTTAGTTTTATATTAAATCACTGTGTTAAAAATCTTAACTACAGGCATTGCCTGTGTTTTTCTAGTACTTAGTTATGTAATTAATAAGCCCTAGATGATGAAAATCTGGTTTTACAAGCCTTAGCATATCTCTGTGGTGCTCTATTCAACTTTATCTGTACTGGTGTAACTTTATTTGTCTAAACTTGGATGTTTCTTGTTTTAATTTTTGTTAAACACTTATTCTAGGTAACAAACTTGACTCTTGAAACTTATGTGATAATGGCACTGCATCTCGCATAAAGCAGTTAAAGAAAAAGAAATTTTTAAATATCTAAAGTTAATTGATAGCATGTCATAATAGCATGTATTACATTTATATGTAATCAGGACATTGCATTTTTGGATCCATTGCACTATCTGTTGCAATGTTTTTTCACAAGTGCTACTTTAAAATAAATGCGGACAGTTGCATCAATTTTAGGGACCAAAGTTAATGCTGGTTCTAGAATAGAGTCAACAGTTCAGAGCTAGTTTAAAATATAGAACTTGTTGGAGCTTTTAATAATAAAATATAACACTTTATTCAACCAGTGTAAGTCTTCATTTAATTCAAATCCTCTGTAACTTGTTTTTAACGCTGTGTGGCCTCCTTTAAAATCAAAGCCATATACACAAGGCTTATCTTCAGTAGAATATTCATTTCTGCGTGTGGTGTTTAAAAAACTTTGGGAGTGTAAACCACACGTTGATGATGAAAGAATGTATGATCTGGTTGGCTGGTTCTTCTCAGAATGTTTTGTTGCTGCCCAGACTTAAGATAATCCTAGAGAAATTCCAATCTACCTGCAGTATTTGAGTGATTTTGTAGTCTGTGAAATAGCATTTTGGGAGTAAAGCATAATTCTTGATGTCATAATATGCAAGATTTTTATGGGAGAGAATTTATGTATCTTAGTTTATTTTAGTGTTGTTTGATGGCTGTTCTCTTAGTCTTGTAGCTGTACAACAGGCTGGACCTGAGCTCTGCTAGGAATTATTTTGATACCCTCTCTGTTTTAATACCAGCCACCTTAGTCTTAGTGCATTTATATCCCTTTCAGGTTTACAAAAATGTTTTTTTTAAATAAAAAAATAAATAATGTGTGAATGGTTTATATCGGTTAGACGATTAATGGCAATGTTTTTTTTTTTTTTTGTTTAAAATTAAGCTTTAATGTATAAACTAAAATTTTGCAGTTGAATTAAATTATACAGTATTTTAAGCGTTCTTGTTTGAATAAAAAAAAATTCTGTAGTTTATCAACTCTGAAAAGTTTTGCTCTACTTATCCTAGATAATGCCCTTCTTAAAATTTGTGTCTGAAACTATCTTAAGCATCTTTGATTAATATTTATTTCCTATTTTATTTTGTACATCCTTGTATATTAATGCAAGCTATATATCAAGCACTATAAAACAAGGCTTCTAATTCTAGTATGTAAATAAACAAAATAAGTTCTAAAATGAAAATTGTAATACTTTAATCACTTCTTAAATCACCCAACAGGTTTTAAAAAAAAAAAATCCTTTACTAAAAAATAAAAAAAAACTGTCTCCATGAAACATTGCGCCTATTGTTGCTTGTATTGATTACACTAAATCAAACTGGATCAAGGAACTCTTGATTGTCTTACCCAGCACTTCATAGAATTTTGTGTGTATCACGTCATTGCATTGGTCTCACTAGTTCAGTTGTACTGTCATTTGACATCTTGTAATTGTGTTGTTATTGATAATGTTCTTTGCCAAAAAGATGCTGAAAAATAGCTTTATATATATTTTTACTTATGCAGTGTTTTTGGCCTTGGACATGTTTTGAAATATTAAAAAAATAGAAGAATAATGTTAGTTCAATGCTATAAGGAGAGTTGTTTTTCCGACAACTGAAGAAATTTGTATGCATTTTTTTAACTTTTAGCTTAGTTTGATTTAACTTAAGCCTTTGTTGATTGGCTAGCAAGGTAGAATTTTATCATTGTCAGTACTTCAGTGGCAATGGATGCCTTATTTTACTGTTTAAGTGTGCAGCAAACAAAACTTTTTATTGCCTGTCGGCGTGTTTACTGTATTTTAAATAGCATACATTTTCATCATTTTATTTAATGCTGAAGAAATATAAATGCAAATTTTTGTTGTATATTTTTTGGACATGTACAGATCACGTAATTAAAGAAATAAATATTAAGAACAGCTGTTGACTTATTGGATGGGTGATATCTGTAAAATAAAATTAATTTGTCTAAAAAAAACCTTGACTTCATTTTCTTCTAAATGCTATTAATTATCGAAGTGGCATAACTCTAAAATTTATCATTTCTGCAGTACATATAATATATACAACAGTTAGCACACGGGCAACTATCTATTAGAAATAAAATTGAGGCCAACAATAAGGAAAGCATAAGGCCAAGTAAAAAAAAATTGTCAATGTGTTTTAACTTCACTCTCATGTTCTGATATTCTCCATTAGTTTTATTTATATTGCAGTTGCAGAATTTAAGAAAAATTATAGGTTTCTTAACATCAGTGGTTTTGTCCCTCTATATAGAGGCTATAGATTTTGTGCTCATACATTATGATAGATTCTTACTACCAGTTAATTAGACATCTGGTAAAATGTAGAGTAGCAAATGCAACTAGAGACATTAAATTGTGCAGACAACTACCAAGAGAATAAGTTCGATCTTCTTTTCTTTTTCTTCGTTCTTGATTTTCTAGTTTGAAGGGATCCCCTCCAACACAATTAAGTATATGTGTCAACAGGTTATGCGCCATTGATTCCGATTTCAGCCTGCTATTCTTTTTGGATTTGCTTCTATAGCAACCAAAAACAAATTACAAGGCAGCAGTTGTGTAATTTTAGACTTGTCTCTCCTTGAAGGGTGGTTGTCCCCATCTAACGAGCCTTATCTGCCCGAGGGTTCGAACTCGAGACTTTTCGGTTTAGCAACCAACTCTACCACGCTGAACTCAAGCTGCGATCAAGTTACTTCAAAATATCAAAAATCCAAATTTAAATGATGTTTCCTAATACTTAGTTATCACAATGACATAAGTATAATCCTATCCTAAAATTATTATTTCTAATTGGAACTCTTAGAATTAAAACTGTTTTTATGCTAATTTTTAACAGCTTTACAAAACAAAGAGACTAAGTTGGCTCTGTAAGTTTTTATTACAAAGTTGATATAATTATTGTTTTAAAAAAAAAAAACTTATTTTACACTTCCTCTACATTAGCACTTCAATCATTTTATTAAATCTACTTTATAATATGGGTATTGCATACAGTTTTTAAAATTTAAAATCCTTTATCCCCAACATATTTAAAAATATTTACCTATTCCAGAATATATATATATATATATATAATTATATTTATATAAATTAAGAAAACATGACACTGCATTGTAGTCAACAAAAATATTATTCAAATTAATCAAATATTCACCAATATTATAACCTAAGCTCTTTTATACCCAAACTGCCGATTACACTATAAATAACAATCAGGAGTAAAATTAATGCAACAACTTTAATTTTAAAAATGTATTTACTTATTAGCTATGCACACATAAAAAAAAAAACTTGAATACCTGGCACTCATAAAATCACATTGAGCTTTTTTTTAAATACATTATCCCTTAACTATTATTTACATGGTTGGGTTATGTAAGGAATTATTTCTAATTTTGCAGCTTTCAAACATGGAAGATTTTTATTTTTCCAATTGTTTTATTGCTCTCTACAACAAGATGGAAGATTTGTTTACATCTATTTTTTCAGCTCCTTCTCTGGTTTCTTCTCTTGTATACTCCCTACTTGGGAATCCTTGTATTTGTTGTGGAGACGTTCCGCAGCATCCGCCTCCTCCTGGGGCTTCACAACATAGGTGTAACTGAAATCAAAGAAAAGGCAACGATGGGAAGGTTTGTTGAGAGGTGGAAGTTATGAGGTGATCAGAATGGTAAAACAGTCAGAGGCGTAGCGACCCATTCCGGCGCCCGTGGCGAACTATAAATTTTGCGCCCCCCCCCCACTCCCATTTATATTTAATTGGGCAAAAAAGACCCCCCCCCCCCCCCACTCCCTCAATTTGGAAAGGTTGGGTGCACATTTTACCAGTCACTATCCTGTAACCATTTTTATTTCGGTTTCACACACTTGATGTATAAAATAGTTACATCCGTCTGTAAAGTCAATAATCGGTCTTTTTTCTTAATTTAGACTGTATAATTCATTAACGCAGCTCAAAATGAGCTTTTTTATTTTTCCCCCCACCCCTTTGGCGCCCCCTAAAAAAATGATATCATGTTAACCAGACGTACTAGTATGACTTTAGCCGCAACTTTCAGGCAACTCTCTCTGATCTGGTTTTTTACAACTATCCCCAATGGCAACCCATCTTTCTTTCAAGCTACTCTTCCAGGTTTTTCTTAACCTGCCTTTTTTTCGTTTGTTCTGGTGATTCCAGGGGAGAGCCTGTCATGTTAAGTTAGTTGTCTGCTTGTGTTAAAACTAATTAGGATACAGTGTATCCGTACATTTGTAAGCCATGAGTAGGCTCTCCATTATCCAGCTTATTTATTACTTTGGCTTTAGGGGTCGTCCATAAACAACGCTTTTTAAAACTTTACCCCCCCCCCCCTACCCATTGTCTTACGTCGTAACAAAATGTTAGACCCACTTTCTATTATGAGGTCACACATCAGCCTACCCCCTACCCAGTAGCGTAGCGAGGGGGGGGGGGCATATGTCCCCGGGCGCCGACCTTAGGGGGCGCCAAAATGGGTTGGAAAAATAAATTGAAAGGTTGGGGGGGGGGGATGCAAATCGAAATCTTGAGGGGGAGGGGGTGCAAATCGAAGTTTGTCCCCGGGCGCCGGGAAGGGTCGCTACGCCTGTCCCTACCCCCCCACCCCTATTAAAAAAATTGCAACGTTTTAATTTTTCGAAATTGCTATTTCTTCAAAAAGATAACGGTTAAAATTCAGTTTCAAATATTACTTTTTAAAATTGAAAAAAAATAATTTCGGCAGACTTTTTGACCCTCCCATCGTCACAGAAGTCTGGACCCTTCCCACCCTCACCCTCAAGAGTGTGACGTCTTTTATAAACAATCCATCATTAGAACAATAGAACCCCCCCCCCCCCCCCCCCCATCTCGCTCAGCTGTTTATAGAACAGGTTGATGAACGGGTGAAAATCTGGTCACCTTGCATAGAAAAAAACAACAGCCCAGCAACCTTGTCTAGTGACGTCATAAGCAGAACAAACAGGTAACAAATGCGTGCTATATCGTTGTGGTGTTCAAACACACCAAGGGTTAGCCAACAATTTTTTCCCCTCTCTTCATTTTGTGGATAACTGAATCCACTGGAGAAACGCGGCATTGTACTTTAATGTAAGATGATTACACCGAGCCAAAATATTTAGGCTCCTGTTTGTGTGACAGTAGGGAAAAAAAGTTGTGATTGGGTTGATACAAATAGGGCTAGTAGAAGTTTTTTTTTCATTTATGTTTTTGTGACGATTTACCTCCCCTCCATTGTCACACTTTTTCACTCAAAATTCCACTTATCCAAATTAAGTAGTTACTACATACTTCCCCCATCGATTAAAAAAAAACAACATCTATTCAACACTGAAAATTATTTTAGCAAAACGGAGGGTGGGGTAGGGAGCTGTGGCATCGCATCCTTTTTACATTTCGTCCTAAAGTCCGCAACCCCCCCCCCTCCCCCCCAACCACCGTGAAGGAGTGTGACGTCATTTACGGACGACCCCCTTATCACCGCCAATATACCAAATGCAACTGTAATAGATTGAAATAATTGTGAGGTCAAGGGAACTCACTCTTCTGTATTAGTTATATTTATTATATTGTTATCTTGAGTGATGTCCCTTGAGTACTTCCTTCCGGCCTCTCTGGTATTACCATCGTGGTAGTTAGACCCAATTAAACGTGTTATATACAACCACAGGCTTCTGTCGTCAATCTATTATAACTGGCGACGAAGGATAAACATCTACTAGAAAGAGCACCTACTTACGCAAAAAAGAGGTTTGCTAGAGCTTATTAGCTAATTATTTCTAGAATTATGGCGCTGTATGGCCAAATAAAAGAATTTGATGCGAATGATGAAATCATTCAAGATTACCTAGAGAGGTTAAGCTTTTACCTAGAAGCTAACGACGTGACGATAGAAGCCAAAAAGAGAGCTGTTTTATTAACAGTCATAGGGCCTCAACAATTCAGGCTACTAAAGGACTTATGCGCACCAGCTAGTCCAGATACCAAGAGCTTTAACGAGCTGAGCAAATTGCTAACAGACCACCATGCGCCTACCCCATCAAAGTTTCTATGTCGAGCTAGATTTGACAGTAGGACTCGTCAACCAAACGAGTCAATATCAGAATATGTTGCTGCTTTACGTCATTTAAGTAGATTCTGTGAATTTGGAGAAACGCTGTCTGACAGACTATGTGAAAAGTTTGTGACAGGTGTAAACAGCCCTGATATTCAAAGAAAGTTGCTGCTCGAGTCAGATCTAAAATTGGAAAAAGCAATACAACTTGCAATGTCATTCCAGCAGTCATCAGATGCGGCGAGATCTTTAGCACCTTCAGAGATCCATGCAGTAAACAGCAGGTTAGTCAATAAACATCAACCCCATCAGAGCATTCCAACTTATGCTAAACAGCCTGCTCGTTCAAATCCTAGATCTAAATCTAGTAATAATTATCAAAAATGTCATCGATGCAAAGGTCCCCATGCATCTCATCGGTGCAAGTTCAAGTCTGCAACTTGTTATAAGTGCGGTAAGCAAGGTCACATTGCCAAGGCCTGCTTTGCAAAGTCTTCGTCTGTTGCTAAATCTAGCCAGTCAAGACAGTACCGCAACCAAAAGCAGCACTATGTTAACTCTCACCAAGACTACCTAACCCAACCAATGAACCACTCTACCTGTGAAAATGCTCAAATTGATTTGCAGCCGGATTTCAACCTGTTCTCTGTTAAATCAATAAGTCATGCTCCCATCAATGTACAAGTTAATATCAACGGTAAGAGCATCAGCTTCCAACTTGACACTGGAGCATCTCTAACAGTTATAACAAAGGAAGATTTTGACGCTATCACTGGAGGATCAGTGCCTCTACAGCCATGTCACAAGTGTCTAACAACATACACTGGTGACAATGTTCCGGTAATAGGAGAGTGTATGGTTCATGTAAGTTATAATGGTCAAAGTGTTAAACTTCCTCTTCTTGTGGTTGAAGGAAATGGACCGCCATTACTAGGTAGGAACTGGTTAAGTGATCTTAAGTTAAATTGGGAGAGTATTTGTTCATTGAAGAATGTAAAAGAATCTAGTCTTACTTCACTAGATAAAGTTATATCTGAAAATAAAAGTGTTTTTGGTAATCATGGATTACTAAATGATAGAACAGTGAAGTTAAGCATTAAAGACACAAATCCAAGATACTGCAAAGCTAGAGTTCCACCTTATGCAATGAGGAATAAAATTGAAAATGAGCTAAGTAGATTGGAATCTAATGGCATCATAAAGAAGGTAGACTATTCCGATTGGGCGACGCCCATTGTGCCAGTGTTAAAGAAGGATGGTTCTATAAGAATTTGTGGAGATTATAAAACTACACTGAATAAGCAAATAGAGCTAAATAGGTACCCTATACCTAACATTGAGGAAATTTCTTTGAATTTGGCAGGAGGAGACAAATTCACTGAATTAGACTTTAGTCATGCTTACACTCAACTAGAACTGCATCCAGATTCAAAAGTCTATACGACAATAAACACACATAAAGGACTCTACCAATATGAAAGACTATGTTTTGGCATATCATCCAGCCCTGGAATTTTCCAAGCTGTCATGGACAGTATTTTTAAGGATATTCCAAATGTTTGTGTGTACTTTGACAATGTGTACATAACTGGTAAGAATGACACTGAACATCTTAAAACACTTGATAAAGTCTTGAAAATTGTTGGTGAAAAAGGTTTAAAGATAAACAAAGATAAATGTCAATTCATGCTGACAGAAATTAGTTTTCTTGGTTATATATTGAGCAAACAAGGCATCAGACCTCAACCTGAGAAAACAAAAGCCATTAAAGAAGCACCCAAACCTGAAAATACCCAACAACTAAGAGCTTTTTTGGGCTTGATAAATTACTATGCAAAGTTCATAGGAAATCTGTCTGGTAAACTATCACCACTGTACAAGCTGCTACAGAAAAATGCAACTTGGCACTGGGGTAAACAACAAGAAGCTGCTTTTAATGCAGCAAAAGAAGCTTTGTCTGCTGACACCTTACTAACTCACTATGACCCAGGGAAAAGACTTATATTAACATGTGATGCTTCACCAGATGGTGTAGGAGCAGTCTTGTCCCACATGGATGAGAAGGGTGACAGACCCATTGCTTTTGCCAGTAGATCTTTGAATCAGGCTGAGAAAAATTATTCTCAGTTAGATAGGGAAGGCTTAGGCATCATTTTTGGTGTTAAGAAATTTCATAAGTTTCTGTTTGGTAGGAAGTTCACCATCTTTACAGATCATAAACCATTGCTAGGTTTATTTGGAGAAAACAAAACCCTACCTGAGCATGCCTCACCAAGAATTCAAAGATGGGCTATCACACTAACTGCATACAATTATGAATTGAAATACAAACCTGGATCTCAGAATAGTGCAGATAGTCTTAGCAGATTACCTTTAAAAAAACCAAAGCCTGAGCTATGTACCAGAAGATGTAGTTGTTCTCTTCACTATCATGAATAACTCCAATATAAATGTGAATGATATTAAAAGAGAAACACAAAAAGATGAGTGCTTAATAAAAGTATATGAGTACTGTAAGAATGGTTGGCCT